TCCACCTATCTTCTCCTATATCCATCTTCTATCTGCCTCCCCCTCTCTCCCTATTTATTTCAGAACCCCCTTCCCCTCCCCCATTTCTGAAGAAGGGTCTAGGCCCAAAACGTCAGCTTTCCTGCTGCTTGGCCTGCTGTGTTCATCCAGCTCTACACCTTGTTATCTCTAGTTATCCTTGATACAACTTCTCTGCATCTGAGAAGTAAATGTATGGCTTGCAGCATCACTGTTTACAATACTTGTGCCGCTTCTGGGACTTTTGGGTCTACTCATGGTAAACTCAGACTGTGGTCCTTGTCTCCAAGCATAAAACAATCAATGCCTTCTTTTGATCTCCAACAATCAAATCATTCAGGTTTATTGTTCGGCAGATCAGAGCAGGTCACATGATTCCCCCTTTCATTTGGCCAGATTTAAAGACAATCCAAAATATAATCTTAAGCCTCAATTGCAACACCACCCCATTAAGAAAATGAAGTCCTCACTATAGTGATGAGTTTTCATAGATATTACCCAAACTATGGCAACTTGTAATCACCTTATGCTGTCAGTGTCCATTTTCAGTCATTCCTTTAGTAATTGAATACCAGCAGGTGTAAATTGTATGCTCAAAATTCTCTATCATAGAGCTTTTAGCCCTCTGAATTCAGTCCCTTTGATTCTTCTTTAAAATAAGAAACCATTTCATTATAAGGTTGTTTTCTTTAACCACTCAGTCCTTGGATCTTCCTGTTCAGATTGTTCCCCCTAATTTATGTTCTCTTTCATGGCTCTTTAATGTCCAAAAAAAAAACAGTCTTAGCCAAACAAACATCCATGTCTTTTTCATGTTTAAACACAGGATTACAGTAGTCAACATTTCATTTATTTAGGAGCAGACCTGGCTACTTCTGTCTCATCTTCTTTACCTTTCAGATTACTGAATATCACACCAAGCAAAATGACCCTGTATGTAACAGTCATGGGTTTATGGGGAAAACTTGTAACCTAATCTCAAAATGGATTCTACTACCCTCCTCCCCATGGCTGCAAGAAACAAATTTGCCTTATCCAATGATTGAACCCTTGCTGATTTTCATTTTTTTATTTCTGTCACTTTTGGTTTGGAGCTGTGAACTGTGAGCTGAGAGCTGAAAGGTGACCTTCAGACTGAGTAGCAGCTTGTTTTTTTCTAAAAAAAAAGGAACAAACAAGCTGTTATTTGTTTTTGAAGCCAGGCCTGAACGTTAATTGCAAGTTGTTTCTTGATCAAAGAACTTTGTAGATGCTTTGACTCCAGAGAGGCCTTATGCTCAAGCAGATGGCAAATGCTGAATGTTAACTGGGACCTCCTATGGAAGCAAACAGTCTACAAAGGAAGACCAGACTTAGAACTGATTTTTGGACTGTGTTGAGTCAGAAAGATTGTGCTTAATTGACATCATTTATCTTTGCTCTGCTGTTACAGTTTAATAATAAGTTGTTAATTTCTATTTGAGCTAAACACTTGATATCTGTTGTTCTTAAAGTCTGGTTAGGAACAATTGGGCAATTTAAAGGATTGAATATTTTAATTTCACTGTTTTGTGATATCCAGTGTTAGTGAGTCTAATTATGGTCTGGTTATGTTGTAGCAATGTGCTAAGCTATTCCATCAAGATTGGTAATATTTGTGGAGTGTCCTTGGGTGGGTTGTTCAGTTGTCCACTACGATTCACAACTGGATACGTCAGAACTGCAGGGCTTAGATCTGATCTGCTGGTTATGGCATTGCTTAGTTCTAGCTATTGCATGCTGCTTAACATGCATGCCAAGCAATTAGTCCTTTGTAGTTGCTGCAGGCATGCCCTCCTGCACTCTTCATTGAAGTTTCTTTCATTTTAGTGAGTAAATAGATAGTTACAGTACCACTGTTCACAACTCAGCATCTTTTGCACCTTTCTGGGACTTTAGGAGACTCCAGGTTTAGTCAGTGGTATACAATTGTGGTCAATGTTTCCAAGTGTAAATGCTTCCGCCTTCCACCTTCCTCTCAGTAAAATAATCCAAATCTCCTTTTGCTCTCTAATCAAACCACACAGTTTTTAAAAAAATCATTCACGGGATGTGGGCATTGCTGGCTAGGCCAGCATTTATTGCCCAGAGAGTAGTTAACAGTCAACCACGTTGCTGTGGGTCTGGAGTCACATGTAGGCCAGACCAGGTAAGGATGACAGTTTTCTTCCCTAAAGGATATTAGTGAACCAGATGGGTTTTTCCAACAACTGACAATGGATTCATGGTCACATTAGACTCTTAACTCTAGGTTCTTTTCATTGAATTCAAATACCCCATCTGCCATGGCAGTATTCAAACCTGGGTCCCCAGAACATTACCTGGGTCTCTGGTCTCTGACAGTATCACTAAGCCATTGCCTCCCCTTCACTGGCACATAGACTGCAGAACAGGTCACACAATTCCCCACCCCCTAATGTATTCCAAAATATAATAATCCTATAAAACGCAATTGTAAAAGCAGTCCCTTCTTCAGGAACATGGAATCTTCAATGTTGTGGCATTTTCATGAACATAGACAATGCAGTACTTCTATTCTGGTTGATAACAAATCTGGAGGAAGATCTAAGGCCCATAATGAAGATGGAATAAAGATAGCATGAGATAAATCAGGTTGGTGTATCGCTCAGTACAGTTAGAGACACACTGTTTCGCTCCTCCTTCCTGCCTAAGGAAGTTGACTGTACAATTACAAAATGGTTACAGCACAGGAGTCCATTCAGCCTGTTGTTTATACTGGCCTTCTGAACAATTAACCCAGTGCCATTTCTCTGTCTTTTCTCCTTAGCCCGGCAAAATTTTCCTTTGCGGTTAATGATCACATTCTCTTTTGAAAGTCTCAGTTGATCCTGTTTTCACCACACTCTTAGCCAGTGCATTTGTGACAGCACAGAGACAGACATCAAAATCAAATCCTTCCTTACCTCTGTACTCACAACACAGTAAAATTAAAATACTTAATGGTCCTCAAAATTGACTCTAATGGTTCCTAACCTGACTTTTTGAATAACCAGTACCAGATCTCGTGAATAACCAATACCAGACACCACGTTTCTAGTGTAAACAAAAGATTTAACTATTTATAAATAATACAGTAGCTTTAGCAGAGCACAAGCTAATCAGATTAATGTAGATTGAGGGGGGATCTTATAGAAACATATAAAATTATGAAGGGAATAGATAAGATAGAAGTAGAGAGGATGTTTCCACTGGCAGGTGAAGCTAGGACAAGAGGGCATAGCCTCAGGATTAGAGGGAGCAGATTTAGGACTGAACTGAGAAGGAATTTCTTCACCCAGAGGGTTGTTAATCTATGGAATTCCTTGCCCAGTGAAGTAGTTGATGCTACTTCAGTAAATGTTTTTAAAAAAAAATTTTTTTTGAACAATGAAGGAATTAAGGGATACGGTGAGAACACAGGTAAGTGGATCTGAGTCCACGAAAGGATCAGCCATGATCTTAAGCAGGCTCGAGGGCCAGACGGCCCACTCCTGCTCCTAGTTCTTATGTTCTTATATGATTTAAATCTAAAATTCCTTGATTCCAGCCCCCAATCTCTCACAAAAGCAGACAGCCAGATACAATAAAGGGAAAAATAAATGAGATGTAACTGGTCAGTTCACCTAAGGCGGCGCCAGGATCTGTAACATCACTGACACATAGGATTATATCTTGTTTGGCTTCCGATGACACCAGTGCCTTCCAGTAGGGGCTGAGGAATATTCATTTAATTCTTATAATTGAGATTCTACTCTCTGAACTTGTTGAAAGTTGATAAGGGGAGGACAACCAGAGAGCCAAACTTCTGTCCTCTAGCTTTCACAGGCACAATCTTCCTGACTCAGAGTCCAAAAACCAGTTCAAACTTAGGTCTCCCATTGTTAGACTAGTTGTATCCTAGGAGGTCCCACTTAATATTCAACATCTGCCATTTGCTTTAGCATAAGGTGTCTCTGGAATTGAAGCATCTAGCAAGCACATTTTAGTAAGAAACAACCTGCAATTAACTTTCAGGCCTGGTCTCATGAAGAAATAACAGCTCATTTATTCTGATTTTTAAACAAGCTGCTGCTTACAGTCCAAATATTCCCTTCAGCATTCAGCTCAGAACCAAAACTGATTAAAACAAAAGTGAAAAGTAAAAAAATCATTGAGGGTTCTAACACATTACAGATCACAACCACTAACTATGAGAGAACAGTTTTTCTCACATTGGCAAAAAATGCGATGGCAATCCTCTTAAGTCTGTTCCCTATGGTTCTTGATCCAATTGTGACTGACATTCTTTCTTTGGATAAAGGCTGATTAAAATTTATCTGAAGGTTTCTGTGGGAAATCCAATCTCCTTGTTGGGATTTTAAAGGGAGAAAATAAGAGCTTTTAAAAAACTGACTGAGATTTACTGGGACTATAATTTAAAATGACTGAATGAAATTGGAATGACTAGAAATGCATTATCATTTGAGTGTATTTAGTTGGTATCTGAAAGATTTATATAACTATATATTTTTAAGAAGTGCCATGTTTCTGTTTACAGATTCAACTAATCAGTACATCAAGGGACAATTTGAAGATAAATTCAAAGATGGTATCCACACACATGGTCTAAAATCTGCTGCTGTACTTATTGGTGTCTTTGATAGAAACTCGGGGCAGCCAATCATGGGAGTTATTAACATACCATTTCATGAAGTGGACCCCAATTTAAGGTACATCTTTTTTCAGTATTTCAGCTTTCAAAGGATACCATCTGTAAGCACATGGATGCAAGCCAATGGAAATGGTATCTTGATCACTTCAGAAAAACACGTGAAAAGCAGCAATAACTAAAAGACACTGTCCCTTTCCTATACTGTAGTTACTGGATCTATTACAATTGGAAAACTTTAAAACTTTCTTCCCCTCCTCCCCGCTCCCCTATGTTGTAGACCATCAGTCTGCTTCACTCCATCTCCAGATCACAATGAGCTGACACTCAAAGCAATTCCCGGACAGTTTAATGGAAGTAGGATCCCGGGGTGGAGGACCAGATCATCCCTTAAAGAAATACATCTCATTAACTTTGTTAACATATAAAATTCTTCCTCTAACACATGCTTGTTTTCTGCAGGTGGCAGGGGAAATATTACTGGGGTATTTCCTATAAAGACATCAATATCTACTCTGTACCAAAGCAGAATCCCGCACACAACCAACTCTCAATTGTCATGAGCTCAAGTGAGAAGGAAAGCATCAAGAAGGCATTAGCTCCTCTCTGTGGTGAAAGAATGTACTATGCTTGTGGGGCAGGCTACAAAGGCTTGTGCACTATCCTTGGTTTAGTAGATGCCTATGTTGTCACAGAAGACACAACTTTTAAGTGGGATACTTGTGCCCCTCATGCCATTTTGACATCTTTGGGAGGGGGTTTTGTGAACCTTGCCAAAACCCTCTCTCAGCCAAAAGATGGAGACCGTGGTGGCTTCCCTGAGCTGCAGTACGCGAGGCCAGATCAAGGGGCAAAACAATCAGACAAATGGGCCAACATAGGTGGCTTTGTAGCTTACAGGTCCAGAGAGCAGTTAGAGGCAATTATTAATGCACTCAGTTTAACTGCAGAAAATACCACCTCAAGATGAAAATTTGCCTCTCAGTGCCTTTTTCTTTAAAAAAAAAGTCTCACTGTACTGCCCTTATCCCATTTGTAAAAAGTAATTTGTATACTATACAAAATTATGAGATTTTTCTAGTCAACCTGTTCAGAGATGTTATGACACACATATGGAGCAGGTGCAATTTGAATCTGGACCTCCTCGTTCAGAGATAGGGACAGTATCATTACGCCACATACCAAATTATTTTAAAACATAAACAATAAAAAAAACGTGGGCACTGTTTCCATGACTCATTGTCTTGAAATCTCAGACAAGAGAAAGAAATTATTGTATGGTAACTAAGGTCTATTGCTAATTTTTAGTTAAACTATTTGTATATGATTTTATTTTTCAAATCTCCAACAGACGTATAAAAAGCTATCGAGGAAAGTGAAATTCTAGCTGCTGGAGGTTTTCTTAATTCAATTAATTAAAAATGCTCCCTTTGATCTCTTACCTGTAATTCTGTCAAAGCAGGTATACTTGGCAAAAGAAAACATTCATCAGTTGCCCATATTACCAACAATGAACATTTGATTGCATGTGTCATAATTTCACAGCTATGTATTTTAATTCCAGTTTTCTCCCCATCTCTCGTGAAGACTCAAATGGCCATTCTTCAAATGATTGTTGACAATTTATCGACCACAAGATCATAGCAAAGCTTAAATGTACAATGCTTCATGTTTGCGTAAGAGGAGGGAAATGCTGAGTAGTGATTAGAATTTGGTGGGCAGCTAATTCTTCCTAAAAGATAGACAGCAAGGCCAATCTCATTGTGTCTATCTTATTTTATGGGATAGGGATATATTAATTCCCACTAATCTAATTGTTGTTGCTTCAAGTTGGTACCAGTCATTGGTGAAAATGAAATATTCAAATGGTCTTTTCACAGATTAGCTCTCTCAAAATACTGAAATGGAATCTGAGTAATACAACCAAACAAATCTGGATTAGTTGTAAAGTTGTTTGCTGTCAAATGTTTTATGAACGATTTTAGCTCATTTGTCAAAACAAATTTAACTGTCTTACTGCTTTTTTTAAAAAGAGAATTAAAGATTAGATGTACAACAGCAATTAGTAAGTACTGTCTTCATTACTACTGCTTTCTTATTTTTAAAATTTAAGTATACCATGCATTTTTTTAAAAAAATTGAGACACCTAGATGAGGACTCAACTCTATAGTTCAAGTTACCATGTTGTAAATTGAGAAAAAGCAGTAGATTAGTAGACACCAATTTTACATTTTATAAGTTTTAAGCTTCTATAAAGGAGGGAGATCAGAACCGAGTTCCATTGTGAAGGAGACAATGGGTCAGAAAATAAGTACAAGAATGTAACAAGTCAGGAGCAAATTGTGTGAAGTTCAGAAAAGCTCTAGATTTAAGATTACACCAGCTAGTAGGGAATCTGGCTTTTTTGAAACTGCAGCATGTTTCACGGTGTCAGTTAGAAGTTTGTTTCAACATCATTACTGGATCGATTTCAAAGAATTTCCTACTTGGTGCCATTGTGGAAGCAACATCACCACATGGACTGCAGTGGTTCAAGCAGAGTGCCAACCACCACCTTTTCAGGATAACAAGGGGATAAAACAATAAATGTTGGTTTTTTTAAAAAGCACATTTTTGTGGGATGTGGGGGCATCACTGGCTGTCCAGCATTTATTACCCATTCCTAGTTGCCCTTGAGAAGGTGGTGGTGAGCTGCTGTCTTGAACTGCTACAGTCCACCTGCTGTGGGTCGACCTACAATGCCATTAGGGAGGGAATTCCACGACTTTCACCCAGCAACAGTGAAGGAATGGCAATATATTTCCAAGTCAGGATGGTGAGTGGCTTGAAGGGGAACTTGAAGGTAGTGGTGTTTGCATGTATCTGCTGCCCTTGTTCTTCTAGCTGGAAGTGGTCGTGGTTTGGAACGTGCTATCCAAGGATCTTTGGTGAATTTCTGCAGTGCATCTTGTAGATAGCATCAGTGGTAGAAGGAATGGATGCTTGTGGATGTGGTGCCAATCAAACGTGCTGCTTTGTCCTGTATGATGTCAAGTTTCTTGAGTGTTGTTGGGGCAGCATTCATTCAGGCAAATGGGGAGTATTCCATTACACTCCTGACTTGTGCCTTGTAGATGATAGATAAGCTTTAGGGAGTTAGGTGGTGAGTTACTTGTCACAATATCCCTAGCCTCTGACCTGCTGTTGTAGCCACTGTGTTTATGTGGCGAGTCCAGTTGAGTTTTTGGCCAATGACAGTGGGGGAATTCAGTGATGGTAACACTATTGAATGTCAAGGGGCGGAGTTTAGATTGTCTCTCATTGGTGATGGTCATAGCCTGGCATTTGTGTGGCACGAATGTCACTTGCCACTTATCATTCCTAAGCCTGGATATTGTCAAGATCTTGTTGCATTTGAGCATCGGCTGCTTCAGTATCTGAGGAGTCACGAATGGTGCTGAACATTGTGCAATCATCAGCAAACATCCCCACTTCTGACCTTATGATGGAGGGAAGTTCATTGATGAAGTAGCTGAAGATGTTTGGGCCTAGGACACTTCCCTAAAGAACTCCTGCAGTGATGTCCTGGAGCTGAGATGATTGACCTCTAACAATTACGAACATCTATGTGCCAGGTATGAATCCAACCAGCAGATAGTTAGCCCCCTGATACTCATTAATTCTAGTTTTGCGAGGACTCCTTGATGCCATACTCGGTCAAATGCAGCTTTGATGCCAAGGGCTGTCACTGTCATCTCCCCTCTGGAATTCAGCTCTTTTGTCCATGTTTGTACCAAGGCTGTAATGAGGTCAGGAGCTGAGTGGCTTTGGCAGAACCCAAACTGGGCGTCACTGAGCAGGTGCTGTATGATAGCACTGTTGATGACACCTTCCATCACTTTACTGTGATGATCGAAAGTAGACTGATGGGGCGGTAATTGGCTGGGTTGAATTTGTCTTGCTTTTTATGTACAGGACATACTTGGGCAATTTTCTACATTGTTGGGTAGATGCCAGCGTTGTAACTACTGGAACAGCTTGGCTAGAGGAGCGGCAAATTCTGGAGCACAAGCCTTCAGTACTATTGCTGGATTGTTGTCAGGGCCCATAGCCTTTGTAGTATCCAGTATCTCCAACTGTTTCTTGATATCAAGTGGAGTGAATCAAATCGGCTGAAGACTGGTATCTGTAATGCTGGGAACCACTGGAGGAGGCTGAGATAGATCATCCACTCGGCACTTCTGGCTGAAGATTGCTGTGCAAGCTTCAGCCTTATCTTTTGCACTGATGTGCTGGGCTTTTCCATCATTGAGGATGTTTGTCGAGCCTCCTCCTCTTCCTGGGAGTTGTTTAATTGTCTACCATCATTCACAACTGGATATGGCAGGACTGCAGAGCTAAAATCTGATCCATTGGTTGTGGGATCACCCAGCTCTGTCTATTACTTGCTGCTTATGCTGTTTGGCATACAAATAGTCCTGTTTGGTAGCTTCACCAGGTTGACCCCTCATCTTCAGGTATGTCTAGTGCTGCTCCTGGCATGCCCTCCTGCACTCTCCATTGAACCAGGGTTTGATCCCCTGGCTTGATGGTAATGGTTGAGTGGGGGATATGCCGGGCCATGAGGTTATAGATTGTGCTGGAGTACAATTCTACTGTAGTTGCTGGCCCATAGCACCTCTTGGATGCCCAGTCTTGAGTTGCTTGATCTGTGCAAAGTCTGTCCCATTTAGCACAGTGATAGTGCCACACAAAATGACGGAGGTTATTCTCAGTGTGAAGGTGGGATTTCATCTCCTCAAGGACTGTGCGACGATCACTCTTACCAATACTATCATGGACAGGCGCCTCTGTATGGTTTTCCCTCTTGTTGGTTCCATCACCCACTGCTGCAGACCCAGTCTAGCGGCTATGTCCTTAGTAGTACTGCTGTCGAGTCACTCTTGGTGGTGGACATTGAAATCCTACCCCCAGAGGGCATTTTGTGCCCTTGCCATCCTCAGTGCTTCCTCTAAGTGTTGTTCAACACGGAGGAGTACCGATTCATCAGCCATTGGATGATGTTATGTGGTAATCAACAGGAGGTTTCCTCGCCCATGTTTAACCTGAAGCCACGAGACGTCACGAGGTCCAGAGTCAACATTGAGGACTCCCAGGGCACCTCCCTTCTGACTAAATATGACTGTGCTGCCACCTCTGCTGGGTCTGTCCCGCTGGTGGAATGGGACATATCCAGGGATGGTGATGGTGGTGTCTAAGACATTATCTGTAAGGTATGATTCTGAGGATGACTTTGTCAGGCTGTTGTTTGACTAGTCTGTGAAACAGCTCTCCTAGTTTTGGCACTAGCCCCCAGATGTTTCTAAAGAGAACTTCGTTGGGTCGACAGGACTGTTTCTGCTATTGCCTTTTTCTTCGTGCCTAGGTTCTAGATTTAGAAAAAAAATTCTAGATTTTTTAAAAATAGGGTTAAAATTCCACCATCTGCTGTGGTGGGACTCAAACTGGCTCCCCAGAATATTAGCTGAGTTTCTGGAGTAATAGCCTAGCAATAATACCACTCGGCCATTGCCTCCTCTGATGCCAATGTCACCCATATTAAGAATTCATTTTTAAAGAAACACTGAATAGCCTGACATTTGCTGACTACACTCTTGCATGAAGAATGGCATTCAGGTGAGATACTGTACTACTGCATCAACAGTCAGTCCTGACAGTGTTTTCCACTGTGCACACTGGCCTGCAATTTCCCTCCCTCATAAAATTAATGAGGAAAACTGATGGCCATATTTTGAGGGACAAGAGAGAGAACAAACCAAACAAGTTTACATTTCAAGAAACAGTCAGATAAAACAATAACCTTTGTCACAAATATACAGTGGCATCTAATTCATTTGCATATCCCAAACACAACACTCAAAATGAATTTGATAACGCTAAGAAATTAACTTATCAAAAAACTCTCATTTCTACAAACCTCAATACAGACTAAATGGCAGCAGAGCTCACTCTGATTTAATTTACTGCATGATGTAAGAAACAAACTCTGGAATCAACTCAATTTTAAAACAGTAAACACAATTCATCTCTCCCACATTACAGGCTAGTTTTCCTCATGCAGCACTTCCCATTATAAAATGATGCCATGACCACCCGATTTTAGACCTATCCCAATGTTATACCATAAACATTTTACAAGATTTGCCCATATCTTCTGTGAAGCAGCAATAACTAGGACCCCACACTTAATGCCATTTCTGACTGGGTTTTTTTGATCCCGTCTTCTTCAGAAATGCACAGCCCTGCGAAAAGTTCCATCGTAGCAAAGCTGTTCTGTTTTGGATGGGTTGAAGAAAAAGACAAGCTACATCCCCTTCTTACAACACGAGCTGCTATTAGGTAAGTTTAAATGTCCAGTGTGAATGGCAGTGAATAGATGAATGGATAAATGAGGGTGAATGGGCAGGGTGGTAAATTGGGTGAATGAAATTGATAGGGTGGGTGACAGTAGTCGGGTGGTGGGTGCTAGTCAGCTCTGGTCAGCAGGGTAGCTGGGTCAAATTGGAGGGCATCAGTATGAGCAGCTGGGAAGTCAGTTATATAGTTATTGAGGAGTTGGACTAGAATTGTTTTGTGTAACATTTTCTGTTTGTGTAACTACCTAGAAATGTGCATTGGAATTGTCCAAAGTCTTCGACTCAAACACTCAAGTTTGGAGACATTTTTGAAGGCTCCCAAGGAGCAGGGGAATTGACCATTCTAAGTTCAAACTTCCCAGGCAAATCTCACAGACGTGAGCTCATCAGGACGCTGGGTTGTACATTTGGTCTGTAACAATCTGGCGACGGGAAGATATGAGCAAAAATTTTTGTTTTCTTCCTGCAGATATGGCTGGCTTGTAGTTAGCACCTTCCCAGTCAAGCAAGTTGTAGAAGGGTTGCTTTAATTAACAATATTTTTACATTTTACTGGTTATTTGTTGTACCTTTTGGTTTCCAAAGATTGTGTTGATGTAGGAACTCTTAGATGACGGAGTATGCTTGTTTTAAAATATTTTTGTTTACATCAACTCCCACACATATATACAGTACCAATTCTTAATTGAATAATTTCGGTATTAATTTTACAAACAATTCCATCGTCTTGTCAAATATTTTCCTATTGCTGATGTCGAAAATAGTTTTGCATTTATGACAAAAATCCTGATTTAAGATTCTGAGCAGCTAATACACACATTTGTTTCTCAGCATTTACTCTTTTTTGAGTAAAGCAGTTGTTTATGTGCAATAGATAACATGAATTGAGTTAAAAAGACCAACTAACAAACTGATACATTTGACTTTTGCATGCAAGAGCAGCCTTAACTCAGGCACAGTAAGTAATTTTACTTACAGCAGGATAATCATCAGTAAAGAATGAAACATGAGTGAAGAAATGATAAGAACCACATAAGGAACTTATTTAAAAATAAAGCTTTTATTCTTACATTAAGAGAACAAAGGTAGACCAGAGGCTTTTCAACAGAACTTTTAAAAAGAGCTTCCAATCGTATGATAGGAAGTGCAAAATGTTGTTCCTTCCAATGCAGGTAATTAATGCAGATGTAACAGTGCAGAATATTGACTATGTCTCACACCATATATACAAATTGCTAGCCATTTGACAATGATTTGTAAGCTCAAAAATGTTGTTATGATTTCCAAAAGCCCTGGAATTTCAGGAACCTCAGCAATGTAGCAGCTGAAGATCCTGTTGGCCAGAAGTTGGGAGGGCACAGTAAAAACATTCTAAGAGAATAGTGTGGACTGTCACCACGGTGACAATGCTGTCATGGCATCATTCCCATGTACTGTTTCATAAAACAACCTAAAATATTTTATTGAACTATTAAAATCAATGTGGGGTACCTTCGTCAACATGACAGTATTTAAAACACAATCTCTACAGCGGGGAAGGCTAAAATTTCTTGCAAAGCAATGATTTCACTGAATAATAGCTGCACATGCAATCTGATGACAATGTATGACAATATTCCCATGAATGTGTTTATGAACCCCATGTATGTGTTTATGAACCCCATGTATTTTCTTCCCTTTTTTTCCTGGAACAAACAAGTGTTTTATTGATTTCCACTCAATTGCAGAGCTACTAAAATCTTGAAGTCTGCTAGCCATGTCAGGGCTATTTGGATCAAGCGTCCTGCCTTCTTTGTCACTGGGAAATCATCCTGACCTTGGAGCACAGATCTAGGAAGGCATTTGTTTTTAAAGGCAAGGAAACAAAAAAAGGAACTAAATAGAAAAAAGTGAAAAATAGCTCATAAAAATAAATGGAATGTTTGCAGAGAAACCTCTGGAGATTTGGAAGCCTTGGCAGAATGCTGGTCCTCAGTAAGGGCGAGTGCAGTTGCAGCATTAGTCTGAGACATTAACTTTGTTTTTCTTTCCAGAAATGCTGTCTGACCTAATTATTTCCAGTATTTACTGTTTTCATATCAAAACACATCTCAGTTTACATTTGACTAAAAGTGACTTGTTACTGTTATTTTTCCAAACAATCTGATTTTCCTCCCCATTTCTCGGCCACTCAGATCAATATTCGTTGGTGATATAATTTAATACTCTGACATGTCAAGCATTCTCCACGCAGTCTCCATTTAGAAAACAGTTTCTTCCAGAATCTTAAAAATACAAATGTTTTTCCCCCTCAAATGCTGCAGGATTCGCTCCTCATTAGGTTAGATAGTTCATTCATATGTCTTCACAATATAAACCCATCAGAGGTGGGAAAACTGGGTGCCTAATTTAAGACAAAAAGAAAAGCTTGAAGGTGTAGAATCTGCATTAAAAACCCATCAAGAACAAGCCCCATCAACTCATTATGGGTAAAGAGAAGCATATAAAGCAGATTCCAATGATTTGCGCTTATCAGGGTGAAAGATATACTGGGTAATGGAAGATTGTTCCACATTTTACATGCAGATTCAGCATTAAGCACACATCAGATTCAGGGTAGAGCCTCCTCTACTTTGCGCAAAATTGCACCTCTGAGACACTTCTATTGCCCAAACTGTAGTGTAAAGGGTTAATGTCAAACATGTAAATAGTGTAGTGATGTCAGAGATCATATGACTACAGATGGCTCTGTGCTAAACCTCATACCAAGCCTTATCCAGTAGACTGTAAGACAAATGAGTAATAAAAAGTAAACTTACCAACAGCCTAGCTTGCAGCAGTTTCTACTGATCCTAATCAAGGACACAGCTTCCCCTAAGATCCATTATGATGATAACAGATATACCAGCTACTGGTGCCTCTGCGTACAACTGATAATTTAGTACCAGCTAAGGCTTGTTCCGTCCTATGGGCATGCACCTACAAAGCATGCAAGTTGATACTGCAGCTATCGCAATAGAGACTTTCATTCCATTAGTCTGAGGAGGATTCAAAGCCAGATCCAGATGTGTATTAACCACTGATTTATTGCATGTAGCATTCCAGACTTAATCAGATTACAACTACGAAGTCTGGAGAGCAGGCCAGCTGCTTTCCTACAGGAAGTGAGGGAATCACACTAAGCATTTCTATGAATGTCCAAAGATGTGCAGGCTAACAGAGATAGGGTAGGGGTGTGGATCTGGGTGGGCTGTTCTTCGGAGGATCAGTATGGACTTGATGGGCTGAATAGCCTGCTTCCACACTGTAGGGATTCTATGATTCTAATCTCCCTGGTTGGCCATACAGCAACGTTAGTATATGCCTAACAACAGTCTTCTCAGCTGCGTACAGTGCTGGCATGAGTATACCTCAGAAATAGAAACAGGACTGTTTTAAAAACAAAAATAGTTTTAAGTTTTGAAAACAAAAGATGCTTAGCCAAAGAACAAACAAACTTGCATTTGAATAGCGCATTTTTACATCTTCTGGAAGTCCTAAAGCACTCTACAGCCAACAACTTTCTTTTGCAGTACAGTGACTGTTCTGAAGGCAAAATAGCAGATGATTTGCGCATCACAGGTCCCAAAAACAACACAGCAGATGAAAAATCAGGAAATGTGACATTGGCAAAATGTCAGCTAGGATACTGGGAGAGCTAGAGTTTTGGATCAGGGCTTGAACCCGTTACCTTCTGGCTCAAGTATAAGAACAACCAACTGAACAAACTTATATCTGTAAAGCTGGCTGTTGTTCACAAGAACCCGTAACCTTATGCCTGCAAACAGCCTCAATGACCAAATGCAAATATCAGTGTTTATGAAAAACATTCCAAAAAGATTACTCCAGGTGGATTAAGTGACAGTATAGACTGCTGCTAGGGGAATAAATACCCCAATCATCACATTATCCAACTTTGAAACTGTGCAACACAGAACCACATTTTAAGGGTGAGAGGTAAGAAGCCAGAATATCAATACTGAAGTAGTGCAGCACACAGCCCCCAAATTTACATTTTGAAGAGTACTGCAGGATATATACTTGAAGGAGAAAGAATTACAGAGCTATGGGGAATGAGCCCAAGACTGGGAGTAATTGGATAGCTCCAAAGACTGAATAATCAGTCTCCTTCTGTGCTATATGATTTTACTCTTCATCTTGTTGAACTTAACTCAAGAGAAGTTACATACTGTAGCAGTAATAGATGGTTGGAATAATCTCAGCAGATAACATGAACCCAGGCATGCATTAGCAAATAAACAAATTCTTTGCAGGTCAGTTCAACTGTCAATTTTGGAAACATCTTTGTACTAATACAATGCTGCACTTAACATTCGAGCCAATCAGCTTTGAATATATTTTTCAAATTAAGATCCAGTTCTGTTACTTTCCTTTTTTTTGTGTTCAGCAAGGGATGTTAGTGCTTAGAAAGAGAACATTTTCCAATTTGGACATCCAGTATCAGCACTAACAACTTACATTTTTCAAAAGTACGGGAAGAAAGATCTTGAAGAGTTTTACAAAGCAGGAAAAAAAAGAAAGAAAAAATGAGAAAACTCAGAAAGGAGACAAAGATGCAATCAAAGAGAACAGTTTTTGGGTGGGTGGGGGGTACTTTTGAAAACTAAATGGGATATAACTGGCTGGAGGAATTTGGGGAAAGACTTCCAGAGGGCAGGACATGATAGCAGAAAAAACAGCTCTCAACAGTTGCACAGAGAATAAGAAATAGGCCAATGGCAAACGAACAGAGGTAAAGTTAAGGTTCTGGATTTCTTATAGCATAATTAGACAAAGAATAAAAGTTCCTGAACCACAAAAGCACCCTCTACTGGCATGACATGTTTCCATTTCTCACACCATCCTTCTTGTGGACTCCGAGATTGCCATTTTTTGCTGAATTAGGGGTGGTTTTATGCTGTGCGCCCAAGTCAACCATGAACTGGATTCAACTCCCAAACTCAGCTAATGCAGGATTGCAACACCCAACAGACACTGATTTCATTTCATCAATCTCTGTTAGAGGGGAATTCCAGTACATAACCCTTTTCCTTAACAATTTGGTTTTCAAGACTGAAATTTGGTACAATGCACTAATTAAACATTGTCACTCATAGAAGGAAATAAAAATGGTACTTTACTTTTTGGACTATTCTGCACCTCTCCTTCTGGTTCTGGTACTTTCCAGTCCATCTTTCTGCCTTTCTCATAGAGACCTTTAAGTATTTTCCGGAATTCGTCCACATCTATACCATGCTTAGTCAATTTCAGGTATTTGCGGTAGAGCTGTAGCGCTGTGCGAGCATCCTCGATACTGTCATGCGTTTCACCCTGAATTTTGAGCTCTGTCAAAGAAGTGAAACAATACAAGAAAAGTCAGTTTCTCCAGATTTAAGTAAATTCTGTACAGCTTTTCCAAGCTTTTGACACAGTTTATGAAGTGCAGTGCCCAGAATTGGATGCAATGCCTGAGCTGAGCTCTGATCAGAGATTTACAAAGGTTTAGCAGAACTTTGTCACTGCTTGGTATCAGTTCCTCAAATATTTTCTTGCCTAATTTTTCCCCTCCTCTCCTGCAGGCACCGATTCCTCACTGGGCTTTGGCGTCAATTACCAATAACCAAGTGGTAATTAGTCATGAGAGTTTGAATGGCAATTATCAGCAAGTATTTGACAGTGAAGAATATTACAGTTGAGACTGGTCCTGTCCTCCTCTCAAGTACAGGCCCTCTCTCAACGTGTGCTTTCTAGGATGGAATGCAGGAATTGGACTCATGGCTGCTTTCCCCTTTAATACTCCAGGATCATAAATACAAATTTTGGTTTCCCTACTGCTACCCCATTTGAGATCAGCTAAACCAATATAGATCAGGTCAACTTTCCTGGTCAAAACTGCTTAACTACTACAAAGCAGACAGCAAAGTCACAGCTGAACTACTATATTTCTCCTATATATGGCTCCATTCAACTGTAGAATTAATACAATATATTACAGAGATCTCAACACAGGCAAAAATCATAATACCTTACAACGAGCCCCATCTGATTATAAGGACATTTGGAATTACACATATTAACAAAAGCTAAAAATCTTAAACTGTAACCAATACAAACCTAGAAAATACCATGCAAGAAAACGCAATGAAATCATCCTCTTCCGAGGCATGTGAAACAAATACACAGTGTCTATCACCTGCTCCTTTGGTATCTGAAGATAGAAATAAGGAGAAAAGTAGATTAGTCTCAAACTGAAATTTATAAAAGCTACTCACTGAACATTTCTTTGAGCTGGAGGAATAATTACATTTGCGCCATACTAAACTGATCTGGTTTCTGAAACTTGCCTTTTTCAATTCTGAAATCACACAATAGATCTGGTGGCTCCTGTACAAACTTGTCATGGAAACCTATTCAACAGTCTTCCCTCAGGCTAGAAATTCACACTGATTACGTATCTTCAATCTTTGCTTATACCAGTGTTTTTGAACATTATGGTTATTGCAATATTAATACAAACTCTACAAGATGCACCATAGTCAGCTTGTATCACATTGAACTGACATCACAGTCAGCAGCTCAATCACAGAGAGTACAATAGCCTCCTGCCATATTCCACAGAATGAAGCTTTTACAATTCATTTTCAAATAGATGCAGCCAAGAGGGAACCTCCCACATTAGCAATGTTCGCTTGGAAAATTATTTTCAACATATTTTCACCACTTTAAAACATATGAACCCATTGTCAAATGCAATGTGTGGTAGTCACATGCTACTGGGATTGTGATAAGGTCACTGCATTTATCAGCACCCATGGGCTGGCATAGATTAGGATTCCAACTCCCATCTATTATTCAACGATCCCTACAGGAAGTGTCAGTCAAGATCAGCTTCAAATTCCAATTTGCCTTCTAATCAATTCTGTTGCCAACACTTATGGTTGACACCTATTATACTTTTCACTATTTGTTAAATACAAATGCCAATAAATCATTCAATTCAATTCAAACTTGTGAAAAATTACAACTTGTATCATATCAGCAACTACAGAATTTCATTCTAACAACGCCTTCAAAAGACACATGGAGGGGAGAAAACAACCTTTCTGCCATTAAGAGAAAGGATAGTTCTTAGTGGTGTCTCAGAAAAAAGAAACAGCCAATGAATCTAGCTTAAATAAGCTAGTCTTGGAGTTATTTTCACATTATGTTTCTGGCATTGGACTTGCCACTCAGTCATGATTTAAAATCCCACCATGGCAAATTGTGAAATTACATTTAATAATTCTGGCAATTTGTGCATGAGCACCAGACAATCCTGGAAGCCATTACGATTCTAAATGGTTCATCAATATCCTCTAGGGAAGGGAACTTGCCACGCCTATCACTGTGCCTATACATGTGGTATACTCTCAAAACCCTCAAAGCAACTTGGGATGGGCAATAAATAACAACCAGCATGTTAAAAACAAAAAGTGATGTTAACCAGTGAGCTAACCCTGATTAGACCAAACATGGAATAGTGAGCAGTTCTGAGCCCAGATTTACAAGAATGTTACCTGGACTAGAAATGGAAAATAGCCATAGTCAGCAACAGGCCACCATGAACTACCACAGCTGGGGATTGAAACTGTGCCATTGGTGTTATTCTACACCACACTCTAGATACCTAGCCAAATGAGCAAACTGATCTCTTTCCACTCCTCCCCGCCAAACTGAGACTCCAAGCATAAGTTATAAGGTGAAATTTTCCAAACTAGGACTGAAATTTAGAAAGGTAAGGGCTAATTCAATCAAAGTTATATCAAGAGGAACAGATAGAGAGGAACTATTTCTGCTGGTTGGGGAGTCAAGGACTAGAGAACATAGTCTAAAAAGAAGTTAAAACTTTCAGCAAAGTAAAATACACAAAAATGGGTGGTAGTTTGGAATTACTTTCCTTAAAAACAAACTATGCTAGGTCAGTTGTTAATTTTGAATCTGAGATTAAGATTTCTGTTAGCCAAAGGGATGGTGGAGGAAAGGTGAGTATATGGAATTAGGTTACATATCAGCTGTGGTCTCACTGAATGGCAGAATAGGCTTGAAGGGCTAAATGGCCTCGTCCTGTTTCTATGAGTGCATAATGAATTCTACTGAATATTTTCATCAAACCTATTTCAACTCATACTGAAACCCAATTTACTTCCACATTTGGAAATGATGTCAGATGGGCTCCCCCTAAAAATGACCAATTTGCACTCTGCCAGAATTTGTAAATAAAAAAGATTAAGGGATCACAGAGGGTAGTCTCCCTTTGAAGGAAACAAATGCTGCTGAATACATGGCCTTAATCTGTTGTTTGCTCTTAGGGATATTAAATGAACACTTAATTTTTATACCTTTGCATATTTTTTTCTTTTTGGTGCTGGCAGACCAGCTGTCCACAAGTACAGGATGTCAGTACAGTTGGTTTATCCTAAAGTATTCTGTTTAAGAACTGAGAACTTTTCAAACCAACCATAAGATTTATGACTCTGAAGTCCTTCTGCAGCCCATGTCCCACAAACTTTACTCCAACATCAATAAGGAATCTCAATTTCAGGTACGTTGACTTCAAGGTGGTTAGGTGCTTGGATGAAATTTTGGCATCAAGATCTCCAGGTTTGATTCCAGAATACTGAGTCAGGTAGTCTACAACCTAATTAAAAAAAAAACAAACTTGTGGAGTAATTACACAGGACAGTTTTTAGATAGAAAATTAGAATTGGGAAAGCAATGGTGCGAGTAATTTTATAGTTAGGGAAATATACAAGCAGTTTTGCGGCTACGGATGTGAATCCAAGATAGTATGTTGCCTTCCTGGTGCCAAAGTCAAGGATATAATTGAGAGGCTGCAAAGCATAATGAGGGAGAACAGTAAACAGTCAGAGGTCACGGTCAGAGGGACAAGGGTAAACAGTTAGAGGTCACGGCCTATATCCATATTGGAAGGAAAAGGGATGAGTCTTGCAGGCAGATTTTAGGGAACAAGGAAAGAAACTACCAAGCAGGCCGGTACAGGTAGTAATTTTTAGATTACTCCTGGTGCTACTATTGAGTCTAGAAATGGGATGCTGGAACAGACGAATGTGTGACTGGAAAGATAGTACAGAATTGAGGACTTCAGATTCCTGGAAGATTGGGATCAGTTCTGGGAGAGGTAAGACCTATACAGGTCTGACAGGTTGCATCCGAACAGAGCTGGGACCAATGTCCTTGAGGGCAGTTTGCTAGTGTTATTGGAAAGGGTTTGAACAAACTTGGCAGTGCTATGAGAACCAAGGAGGTCATGCTAGAGAGGAAAGTAACATGCACAAAAGAACAGTAAGGCATTAAATGGGGTCAGAATAAGAGGGAATGTGATTAGATGTAAATTTGGATTTCTGTACATGTATTTTAACTCACAGAATATGGTGAAGAAGGTGAGCTAGAAGCAGATAACCAAGTGGGAATATGACGTTGTGGCAAAAACAAAGACCTGTCTCAAGAAAGAACAGAATCTGGTACTCATTATTCCTGGATACAAGGTATTCAAGAAAGTTGGAAAAGGGATAAGACTGGAAAGGAAAACAATGAGGAGGGGTAGCAGTATTGATTAAGCAGACATTAGAGTGCTGGAGAAAGAGGATGTCCTAGAGGGACCAAAGACAGAATATAAAGAAACTATGACCCAAATTTTCTGATGGCCAGACAGCTGTCTCTGTAGCATAGGCCTGCAGAATCCCCAACGTAGCAGCCTCCAGGAAAGTGAAGATTCCAACTGACAATTCCCCAGCAGCTGGAGTCCTCCAGAAGTATCCAATTAAATCAGAGAATTCAGAGGGCTCTGCTGCAGTTAATAGTTTCCCAGGAACCATACCCACCCGACTTACCAGACAATCCTAGAATACACATACTCCAAACCCATTACACACACATATGGCAGTCCCTGCCTGTGAAGGTGATTGATCCTTATTTGGTGCCTCTCAGTTTTGCCAAAAGAAATTAAAACAAGCTCAGTGGACTAAAAACTGAGAATACAGCGTTTGACAAGAAGTTAATTTGAGTGTTCTAATGAGTTATTTCAAAATTTTATACATCAGCTTCAGAATAGTGGTCACCCGAATTAGACAGCAAGATCAGCAAAACCGCTGCTCATCACATTACCTGCTCCTGTGTGGAAATGTAATCGTCAATGAACGGAACACCTTCATTCGGTCCCTGACCTCGCACACAGGTAATTCTGGCAACTGACATTTGGCTGGGTTTGATTGTGGATTTTGTTCCGTCGCTACGCAGTTCTGCTTCTTCCTGTGAATATCAAGTTACAAAAAACATCACAAATCAACAAAGCAACAAGCTTTACTAACCTAAACTGGAGTTTTTTATTTAGAATTTTCTTTCAAAAATGTCATATTCCCAATTATTCACAATCTGCACTACTGTTTGATAGTAATCTTAATAGCTGAATAATTAACAAACGGCTTCTAAAACAAAACTGATTTCACTTCACTGAGGAACATTCATAGAAAACAAAGAAACTCATTATTATGATGCCCATAGAGACTGGAAACTTTAAAAAGAAAGGAATGCACACATCACAATGGCAACGAAAACTGCTGGCTAAAATTTCACTTTTTACAACTTTTACTGTAATAAACCATTTGAAATCAACACATTTCAATGATTAGTTAACAGACAAAGGATATTTCAAACAGACATAAATTTCACTTTAAACTGTTGATAAACAACAAAGATACGCCTAAAATAAAATCAAGTGCTGGAGAAACTCAGCAAGTTTGGCAGCATCTGTGGAGAGATAAACAATGTTAACTTTTGAGTCCAATGTGACGCTTACTTCAATTCTCCAGCATCCACAGTGTTTCGCTTTTATTTGAAATATACACTTCATGTAGTTATAAGCATTTGCATTGTGGAACTATGTATAACTCAGTTTTCTAACTCAGTCTCCAGTATGTAGGGTTTCTCACTTCCCAATATCAGCCCTTGAGTTACATTCACAAGCAGCTATGTTCCAACCTTGGACATGGTCACTAGCAACAAGGTGCACACACTCGCTCACTCAGATCACGAACATAAAATATAGGAGCAGGAGTAGGCCATTCAGCCCATTGAGTCTGTTATGCCATTCAATGCCTGATGTGATCATTTGCAATTCCACTTTCCTGCCTTTTCCTCAAAACCCTTCAATCCATTTCTGATTTTAAAAAATCAACCTCAGCCTTGAATATACTTAACAATCCAGCCTCAACAGCCCTCTGCAGCAAAGAATTCCACAGATGTACTCCAGTCCCAGATAAGAAATTCCTCATCTCTGATATAAATGTACAATTTTCTCGTGAAATAAAATTATGCCCTCTGGTAGTAGACTCTCCCACGAGGAGAAACAACCTTTTTGCATCTACCCTGTCAAGTCTCCAGAATCTTGTTTGTTTCAATAAGGTTGCCTCTCATTCTTCTAACTCTTAATGAGTACAGGTCAAACCTATTCAATCTCTCCCCATAAGACAGTCCCTCTAGACCCGTTATCAGCCACATGAACCTTCTCTGGACTGCCTCCAATGCCAATATACGGTTCCTTAGATAAGGAACTCAAAACTGTTCACAGTATTCTAGGTGAGGTCTGACTAGTGCCTTGTATAGTTTTAGCAAAGCCTCCCTACTTTTATAATCCATTCCCTTTGAAATAAAGGCCAACATTCCGTTTGCCTTCCCTATTACCTGCTGAACTTGGATACTAGCTTTCTGTGATTCATGTACAAATTGCTCTATACTGTAGCTTTCTGCAGTGTTTCTCCATTGAAATAAAATTCAGCTCCTCTATTCTTGCTGTCAAAGTGCATAACCTCGCATTTATATTCTACCTGCCAAGTTTTGCTCACTTGCTTAACCTGTCTATATTCCCCTGCAGACTCTGTCATCCTCACCACTTGCTTTCCCACCTATTTTTCTGTCATCCACAAACTTGGCTATAGTATGTTCACTTTCCTCATCCAAGTTATGAATATATATTGTACATAATTGTGGCACTAGCACCAGTCTCTCTGGCACTCCACTATTACAGGCTGCCAGCCTGAAAATGCCCCCCTTATCCCAACTCTCTGTTTCTATTAATTAGCCAATCTTCTATTCATGCTAATATACTACCCCCAACACAATGAGCTCTTACTGTAGCCTAATGCATAGTACCTTATCAAACACTTTCTGAAAATTCAAATATATTCACTGCTTCCCCTTTATTTATCCTGCTTGTTACCTTCTCAAAAGAACTGTTAAATTTGTCAGGCATGATTTGCCCTTCATGAAGCAATGTTGACTCTGCTTCAATGCAACACTCAGCTAAGTTTGCATCCACATAGCCACTGTCCCTGTTGTACCATGACCGATAAATTTTCTTAAGACTATTGTGTGGCATTGCATCAAACGCCTTCTAGAAATCTATCTATACCACATTAACAGTGTTATCATCATTGACCCTTTCTGTTACCTCTTCAAAAAAATTCTAGCAAATTAGCTAAACACAATTTCCCGTTTAGAAATCCATGCTGACTATTCCTAATCAAACCACCTTTTTCTATATGATTGCTAATTCTACCTTAAATAACTATTTCTAGCAGTTTCCTCACTGCCGAAGTTAAACTTCCTGGTGTATTTTGGTCTCAAAAGGGAGATCATATACAAAAAGCACATGGGTGACACTCATTGCTCAGAAATGGAATATTTGTGACTCAATACCATCAAGCAGGTATACAGTAAGTACAGCATGGCCTAGATACGGAGAAAAGCTCCTGTACTGTGCTCAGACAATGTGCATAACCACAAAAAAGGTATCCCTACATCTGTCCAACATTTCCACAAGGACTACATTAATACGTTTCTGCCACTCACCAATCATAGATTGGTGTCATTAACAGTTAATGGAAAAAAATTCATTGCTCACACCATTTTACTTTCCTAACGTGGGCAATGGAGATGAGGGAGAGCAGATAAGTGGTCAATAAAAATCTTTGTAGGGAGAAAATTCTAGGTAAAATTGGAACACCATATAAATAAATTATTAATTGCACCTAAAATAAAGATACTTTCCCCAGGATGGTATGTTAAACTAGCTGTATTTCCAAGTTAACATACATACCTGATTCAATGTGACAAACTCTGCATCCAAGCCCACTAAATCACTAGGCTGGGGCATTTCATCCAGCATTAATGGAATAAAAGTTGCGTGACATTTTCGCTGCTTTCTAGCAAGAGATGCCTCTGCCAGCAAAACACTTGCTTCAATTGGATTTTTTACTGAAAGGCAGAAAATCATTTTGTGGTTGCAAATGAAATAAAAAGTTAAAATATCAAAATATAAAATACAAAACATAATTAGCTAGTCCAGTTACGAACTAGAGATGTGAAAATATTGCAAATTTAACTCACCTGTATGAGGAAAATGTTCCCAAATCGAAAACAGGATTACAAAATTGAGCCAGGTTTTGACTCCGGCATTCTGACCTTTTACAAAATAGGTGCCTCATACTTCCCACATAAAAAAAGTGGCAAACTATGCACACTATTCAAAAGACATCACCGCTGACTTGAGTGCTTCAGACACACTTAATAGATATTTATCACTTAGTCAAAAACTGGAATTTTTACTGGTGCATTTAATTCAAAACATTTTGTGAGAAATACAAAGACTGAATTAGACACAGAGATAAGAGATGTATTTGATCATTTTATTAGAAAAAGCCAGCTGTATTTTCCAGGTTACCAGAAAAGACCAATTGGACTGACTGATCTGTTTTGGTGATGGTAATTACATGTAATAATAATAAAGAAGGAATTTTAAAATGTCAGAATGAGAAAAAGATAAAATAATAATCACAAACATGAACAGTCCACTTTAAATAGTTCACAAAGAACAATGCTGCAGTGTTCAAAACCTTCTCCTAATGGCATAGAACTCCAACTGACACCAACATTTTAAGCAACTAGTAATTGGAATTCCCTGGAATTAACTGAAACTCTCTGCCAAACAACACTGTGGGTGCACTTACACCAAATGGACTATAGTGGCTCAAGAAGATAGCTCACCACATCCTTCTTGAGGGCAACTAAGGACGGGTAATAAATACTGGCCCAACCAGTGATGCCCATATCTCAGCAGTGGATATATAAAAAAAAAACTGAAAAAATTGCTTTGCCTTTATGAAGCACACTCTGGTTGCCTGGTACACATCTATGTTTTAGGCATTATTCTGCGGGGAGTTGATCGAACCAAATGTACTGTTGAAAAACAGAGCAAAAGCTGCTACTTATGGAGTCTAGAAAAATGAGAGGTGATCTCATTAAAATAGATAGGATTCTTACAGGGTAAATGCTGAGAAGTTATTTCCCTTGTGAAAGAGTCTAGGACCAGAGTGCATAGTCACAGGATAAAGGGGTATCAATTTAAGACAGAGATGAGGAGGAATTTCTTCTCTCAGAGGGTTGAGGTGCCTTGGAAATCCTTGCCACAAAGAGCTGTGGGGGCAGAGTCCTTGTATATATTTCAGCCTGAGATAGATTCTTGACCAGTAGGGGAATCAAGGTTTACAGGGAAAGGGCAGAAAAGCGGACGCGAGGACTGTCAGATCAGCCATAATCCTATTCAATGGCAGAGCAGGTGTGATGGGCCGGATGGCCTTCTTCTGTTTCAATTTCTTATGGTCTAATGACGTCTTACCAACTACCACAGAAAATAACCAGAAAGATAACGGAGAACTGTTACAAACAGATTACTCCACATTGCAGCAGACAATACCCACAACTGTTGGTGTTCTTTCAAACTAAAATGATTAAAAAATACATATTAAGCATTGTAGCCTAAATTTGCAAACTAAGGTGGTGGTGGAACTTTAATTTAGGGCATGATCTATGAAGTCTCGGTTTCTCGTTCACCCCCCAGCTAATCAATTCCCCATCAGCTTTCTCCCCTTCTTCCCAAAAAGGGCACTGGGAGAGCTGAAGCTATTTGTAGCAAACCCATTTACCGCCCCCGTTGATGTCAGCAAATTTATCTGATACTTGTCATCAAATCTGGGATATTTCTATGAAGCATCTCTGCCTGAGATGGCTATCAAACAGGAGGACCCACATGTTCTTACTTTATCTACTCATACACTGTTTGGGATCTAACAGATACAAAAACAATACAGAAAACATGCAATTGTGAGTTTGGGGCGCTGTGAAGAGAAAAAGAGAGGGAGGAGCTGAGGGAAGGGACAGTAGATTTGGGCTTCTTCTAAAATCTTAGAATCCCTACAATGTGGAAACAGGCCATTCGGCCTAACATGTCCACACCAACCCTCTGAACCCTTACCCCTGTAATGCACCTAACCTACACATCCCTGAACACTATGGGCAATTTAGCATGGCCTATCCACCTAATTTGCACATCTTTGGACTGTGGGAGGAAACCAGAGCACCCGGAGAAAACCCGCACAGACATGGGGAGAACGTGCAAACTCCACACAGACAGTGGCCAGAGGGTGGAATTGAACCTGGATCCCTAGCACTGTGAGGTAGCAGTGCTAACCACTGAGCCACCGTCGTCCCCCACTAAAGTTGAGATGGCCCCACAGTATCACTGCAAAGATACGCATCATGCAAAAGCAATTGTTGATGGAGGATTGAAGACTTGGTCAGTATGGGGATCGAACCCATGACCATGGTGTTATTAGCACCACGCTCTAACCATATCAGCTAACTGACTAATGCCCCTGTCTAGATGACGTTATGCTTCTCTAGTCAACAATTCATGATTCAATAATTCAATAAATGTTACCTACTTGTTAAATCATACTTGGAATTCAAATTTCGTCTAGCGTAGTACAGAATACAGGGGATCTTCCAACTCAAATCAAACTGCATAGCTTCACACTGCAAAAAATAAATGCCAACTCTCAAGTAAACTGCAATCCGAACAATATTCCAAAAATTCTCATTGGTCACTCATTCAAAATAATTTGCCTCCATAGATTCCCATGTGGCATGTACTGATACTCTGGTCTAAGTGGTTAATCAGGTGCTATATTCAGCAGGCCTCTTGCCAACATTACTCTGTTAGCTTCTGTTAACTAATGCGTAACAATGATCTTTCATGTCTGAGAAGCTGTTAGCCTTCATTTTGAATCTTTTCCCTTCTCCTTCTCATTTCCAATCAGGTCACTAACAATGAAACCATATTATACATTGAATCAGAGAACAAAGTTGCATTATGTCAGTATGGCAAAGTCACTCAGATGTACTTGGCTGTTCACTTTGTTATAGTCAACACTGATGAACATAAATACATATTTGCTCTGTGGGAATGCATCTTTTTGCCCTCCACCATCTTACTCTACATCACCAGAAGTTGTGCAAAAGTGATCTTCTCTCTGCATGTCGAAGTTCAAGGCTGAACTCAGTTCCCTGTAGTCACAGCAATCTGAATCTCAGCACAACGTAAAGTATTGGGTCACTCATGACTGCAGTGCACTTACTAATTCTCTTGATTATAACCAGTTTACTTCCTCTAGACTAGACTAACTATCTTCATGGTATGTATGCATGTATTTAGATAACTTATCATGGTGAAAGATTTCTTATGTACAAATAGTCCCCAGGTTGTGAACGGTTTCTGTTCTTGAATCCATTTACAAATCAGAACACAGTGTAGGACAATATAAAATTGGTGTTCAGAAGTACAGAAAATGTTCACATCCATGACACAAAAACAGAAATTGCAGTTAATACCCCCATGTATTTATTCATGTTTGTAAGTTGGTGTTCCCCTGTATACTTAGAGGAAAATCACAAAAGATATATGAAGAAAAATAGAAGAAAGCAGAATTCTTTTGTTTTCCTTTCCCCTCAACATTGTTTCAAAATAACATAATTGAAAATAACAATTTATTACCTTGTCAATTGGTTCAATGAGAAAGTCATTAAACAGATACCACTGTTTATGAGTGACACCCTAAAACACAAAAATATTGCATGAGATATATATAATAAATCCTGCCTTAAGGCAGCAATTTTCAGACATTACTGCACTGGGGAAACCTTTGCACATTGGATTTATAACGGGAGTCCCTGGAAATGCCTAAGGACAGTGTCAGTTACTCAAATAAAAGCGATGTAATTACTGCAAAGAATGTTACTATGAATATACAGGAAGGGCATTGCTAGTGAGTTGCATTGATATACTTCCCTCAATGATGCTTTAATGGAAACTTGAGTCCAAGGGGGGAAGAATATAAAAATAAATTTTAAGAAAATAAACTAAAGTGGTGGTAGTGGCTCAGAGATAAAACCTCGACCCAACTACCAACATATGACTTCTAAAAATGGAAAGATTCTGTCACATTTTACAACAAGCAACTGCCAATAGGCAAATCACCATCTCTGCTTATTGAAATCTCACATGATAAGATTTTCAGTTTACTTCCATTGTCCAGAGTTTTGGAAGGACTGTGGAAAGAATTTTGAGATGGTTGCACCAAGGTCAACTGATAATCTGCTGGTATTTCATTTCTTTACATTTCATAAATCTAGTTTCTCCCCTCTAATAAAATATGATACCACAGCAACATTTACAGCAGACTAGGCCACTCCCGGTACAGCTGCAGAAAAACATCAGGCAGCCAAAATAATGTGGCAGAAAAGGAAGGCAATCTTACTGATTCTTTCAAATAATCACCATAAATTTAGATACGCATCCATAAAAATCAAAGTGACTACATTTTTTGGTAGTTTTAAGTTTAAGGCAGGATAGGGACTGGGGCGAACACGAGTGTTTGGAAGAAGTTTCCTTGCAATTCAATTCAGCATAACTTGAAGTACAAACTATACCAAACACTTTTCAATTATATTGATAGCAATTCATGATTAACAGTTAATAAAAAGTTTTATTTCGAAAGGTGAAGCAGACAGAATTTTGCCCATAAGACGTTCTATAATGTTCAATAAATAGCATTTTTGCTCCTGATAATACCACTGACACACTAAAACATGACAATTTCAAGACCTGTTGATTTAGGAATATAGATCCATACTTATACCTCCTTTCGCTGATGATACGTTTCCCCAACCTTAATATGAGCCACAAGATTTCCACCAGCCCGAGGATCTAAAATGTGGGCCACTGTTACCACCAGATCATATAGATAAGTGCTCTCCTCATCTTCTGAAGGGTTCAACTATATATCAGGACCAAAGTAAACAGTAAGCGACCTTAATAAAAATCATTGAGCAGCCTAAGGCTGCTTACTCACAAACAAAAACAGAAGTTGCTGGAAAAGCTCAGCAGGTCTGGCACCATCTGTGAAAGGAAATCACAGTTAACATTTCAGGTCCGGTAACCCTTCCTCAGACCAGTTCTGAGGAAGGATCACCGGACCTGAAATGTTAACTCTGATTTTTCTTCACAGATGCTGCCAGATCTGCTGAGCTTTTCCAG